TGCTGACCCAACATGTGACCAGGCAGGGGCGAGTGGGCTGAGATATGGAAGGGGACAGGCCCCACCTGTTGCCTGGACTCCCACACTCATCTCCCCACAGCTCCTGAGGAGGCCAGTGTTTTCCCTGGCCATCTCTGCCCCACGGCAGCTCGAGGGAGCTTTTATTTTATTTTATTTTTATTTTTTGAGACAGAGTCTCATTCTATTGCTCAGGCTGAAGTGCAGTGGTATGATCTCAGCTCACGGCAAGCCCCATCTCCCAGATTCATGTGATTCTCCTCCCTCAGCCTCTTGAATAGCTGGGACTACAGACATGAGCCACCACATCTGGCTAATTTTTGTATTTTTAGTAGAGATGGGGTTTTGCCATGCTGGCCAAGCTGGTCTCGAACTCCTGGTCTCAAGTGATCTGCCCACCTCAGCCTCTGAAAGTGCTGGGATTACAGGCGTCAGCCACCGCGCCTGACCAAAAGGAGGTTTAAAAAGTGTAAGTTTGATTACGTCACTCCATGGCTACATCTTTTTGTAGTTTTTCCACTGCTTAGAATAAAAGTTGCACTCCTTGCGCTGGCCTCGAGGCCCCACATGCCACTGCCCCCACCCAGCTCTCCTGCCTGACCTCCCTCCACTATGCTCCCATGTCCCTTCCCAGTGGGGCCTTCCACAGCCATCTCAGGTGCATTTGCCCACTTTCTATCTCTACCCAGTTACTTACTCTCTGGCACATAAACTATTTTTTTTTTAAGTCATTTTTTTGGCCAGGGGCAGTGACTCACACCTGTAATCCCAGCACTTTGGGAGGCTGAGGAAGATAGATCATGAGATCAGGAGTTCGAGACCAGCCTGGCCAATATAGTGAAAGCCTGTCTCTACTAAAAATACAAAAATTAGCTGGATGTGGTGGCAGGCTCCTGTAGTCCCAGTTACTCAGTAAGCTGAGGCAGGAGAATCGCTTGAACCCGGGAGGCGGAGGTTGCAGCGAACGGAGAACATGCCACTGCACTCCAGCCTGGGCAACAGAGGGAGACTTCATTTCAAAATAAAATTTTAAAAAGTCATTTTGTTTTTTGGTGGTAAAGCATACATGCATAAAATTTATCTTTTGAGCCACCTTTAAGTGTGTGCTTCAGTGTCAGGAAGTACATTCCCGTTGCTGTATAACCATCACTGCCATTTGTCTCCAATCGTTCTCTTCATGCCAAAGAGAAACTCTATACTCATTAAACAATAATTCCCCAACCCCTGGAACCCTTTTTTTTTTTTTTTTTTTTTTGAGACCGAGTTTCACTCTGTCGCCCAGCCTGGAGTGCAGTGGCGCCATCTTGGCTCATTGCAATCTCTGCCTCCCAGGTCCAAGCGATTCTCCTGCCTCAGCCTCCCAAGTAGCTCGGATCACAGGCGCCCACCACCACCCCTGGCTAGGGTAACTTCGATTCTACTTTCTGTCTCTGGGAATTTGACTACTCCAGGAATCTCATATAAGTAGAATCACATAGTTTTTGTCCTTTTGTCATTGGCTTATTTCCCTTAGCATAGCTTCCTTAAAGTCCATCCATGCTGTACTGTGGGTCAGAATTTCCTTTCCTATTAAAAGTGAATAATGTGCCATTATGTGTAGATACCCCAGGTTCTGTGCATCCCTTCGCCTGCTGATGAACATGGGGTTGTTTCCACCTCTGGGCTATTGTGAATAGTGTTGCTAGGTGCACTTGTGAACAAGTGTCTGTTTGAGTCCCTGCTTTCATCCTTTGGGGTATTTCACAAGCTTTTGTATTGTGTCTCCAACACACCACTGCCTGAAACTATTTTGCTCACTGCTTTGTTTGCTCGCTTGTTTTCTGTCTCCCTCCGGTCATCTCCTTGGAGACAGAAGCCTCGCATGTTTGGCACACAGTTGTTATCAGGCCCATAACGGTGTCCTGCTCATGGTAGGTGCTCAATAACATTTTTTTTAAGTTGAGATGGAGTCTCACTCTGTTGCCCAGGCTGGAGTGCAGTGGTGCAGTCACTGTAACCTCCATCTCCCGGGTTCGAGTGATTCTCCTGCCTCAGCCTTCCGAGTAGCTGGGACTACAGGTATGTACCACTACGCCCAGCTAAGTTTTGTATTTTTAGTAGAGCTGGGGTTTTGCCATGTTGACCAGGCCGAACTCCTGACCTCAGGTGATCCATCCAGTTCGGCCTCCCAGAGTGCTGGGTTTACAGGCATGAGCCACCGCACCCAGCCTCAATAAACATTTTTGAATGAAGGATGAATAACACTGCAGATGGCCCAACCTGTTGGGCACAGGCCTAATCACCACTTCCAAGTGAGGAGACATGTCTGAAACACTAAAATGCTCACAGGTATTCACAGACAGCATTTAAAAATTTTCATTTATTTGTCAGATTTAGTAAAAAATTTACAAAAGTAACATGTGCCATGTGGTCCATGGAAATGAAAGGTGTATGTGAAATCAACAAAGCCACAGGGACTGGGAGAGCAAGGGTAAATGGAGGAATCCAAGGAGTATTCCACCGATCTGCCAGAGCATGTCTGCGCTGCTTAAGTCAGATAAGGTGAAGGTTTGGAACGTAGTGGGACTAGGGAGCGGTGCCCTCCTCCTTATAAAAACTCACCACCATGTTTTGGGCACATGCTCTTTGCCAGCCTCTGATCATCTGGGACCGCTGTGGAGAGGAGCAAGTAGCCCCATTAAGTGCCAATGAAACAACAGTGTCATCATGGTCAACACTGTTTCCTGAGCATAGCAGGGTTAGGAATAGGAGCCAGGACTCCTGCATTCAGCCTGCTTTGCCACCCTTGCTTGGGACTGATGAAGGCTCTTATTCATGTCTTCTCAATCTTTTTGAGCCAGCCAAGGTCCAATCTCCCATCTGTCCATTTCCTCACAAGTGCGTGTGTGTGACAGTGTGGAGGACAGAGTGCATGTGTGTACATATGAGTGTGTATGAGTGTGTACATATGAGACTGTGAAGGGATATGGGGTGAAAGAGTGTATATAAGTGTATATATGTACTTATGTGTGTGTGTGTGCATGTGCATGTGTGTGTGTATGTATATGTTTTAACTGCAGGGACATTGGATAAGTCACTTAAACTCTTTGGGTCTCTTTTTTGTTCATAAAAACAGACAAATGAAAAAACCTCCTCCCTGCCAGGGGATGTGTGAATTCAATGGGATAATGTCTCTGGGCGTTCTATGTGGTGCTGGGCACATGGCAAGTGTTAATAAATGATACCTGTCACTTTTCAACTCTCTATCACTCATGATACCTTTCACTTTCAAACTCTATATCACTCAATCTCCTGACCAGGAATCTAGCTGTCATTCACCTCTTAAGCTACATAAACTACATTCTGCTTTTATTCAGCTGGGGGTAGAGTGCAATGAGGGGATATCTGTTGAAGAAATAGAAGAGACCGTTTTCTACACTGGCAGCATATCAGAGTGACACATTTTCTCACTCCACTTTGGGTTTCATGTCCATTTTCTTACTGGCTCCTCACTTCAGCCCTGTGAAGTTGGTTTAGTGATAACCAATTTACAGATGGGAAGCTTGAGGCTCAGAGAACAACAGATCACACATCCAGCATTTGACTCCAGACCTGGGACCTCAAAACCACTGTTTCTTCTACTCTCCAATGCTGAAGATGGCTCTGGAGTCAGCCAAAGAGCCTGCTGGGGAGGTCGTGTGCCAGGCAGGGGGCACAGGATAACCAAAGGCCGGGGGAAGAGAGAAGTAATATGTGTGTGATTCTGGAACCCAAAGAGAATGTGAGGAGAGAAAGGGTGAGGCTTAAAGTTAGAAGGATGAACAGGGACTGGATCATGCAAGGCCCTGAAGTCTGCATTGAGACATTTGGAATTTATTTAAACGGAGAACCTAGATGAGATTTGAGCTTAAGCAAAGTGATTTTGACACATCCAATAAAAATTAATGTAGAGCTACCACCAAGGAACAATCTTGAAAGAATAGCAGTGGCCTGGGCTGGGGCAGCTCTCAGAGAAGCTGGCTGGGGAAGCCACCACCTGCTGGGATCCTGCTGGAGCTTCATGCTGACCACCTGCTCTAGGAACCATCTCTGATTGCTGGGAGAAAATGGATCTTGTACTGTAGGCAATAACTCCAGGAACCCACTCAAATGTCAGTGGGGGATCTGCTTTCCATGGCCACAGGGCCCTTCTGGAAAAGAGAGGTTTCCAGTAGTAGTGGATACTGCAGCCATTAGGAACATCCTAGCTGATTGCCACGATGACCAGTGGGGTGTCTTCTTTGCTTTCTGTGCTCCTATACTCCCTCTTCCTTCCTCCAGTACAAACTAGCCCCATGCTACCTAGAAGGTGCTCAATTTCAGGCTACCTCCTCTGGCTTTGGGCAAAAGCCTGAACTTGAGTTACGCTGCAGGAGAGGGAGAGAGCCAAGCGCCTTTGAGTGCAGTGAGACAGAGAAAGACTGACCAGGACTGGATGGGGTGGAAACTGCAGTGACCAATGGAAGTGGCTGAGTGACACATTTAATTCAGGGAGGCTAGACCCTGGCATGGCAGTACAATAGATGCCTACCTTCAGGGGTCCCACAGAAGGGACGAGGAGAAGACCAGCAGTAGCCATATCTGCGAGGTGAGCTGAAGACCCATTTCAGGTGGGAGCTTCACAGATAGTGCGCTGCCCTGAAGAAGAGGGGTCCTGGCTGGGAGCGGTTGGCCCGCACCTGTTATCCCAGTACTTTAGGAGGCTGAGGAGGGGACTGTCTTGAGCTCAGGAGTTCATGACCAGCCTGGCCAACATGGTGAAACTCCATCTCTACTACAAAAATTAGCCAGGCATGGTGGCATGCACCTATAGTCCCAAGCTACTCCACTTTGAATTGTATGTCCACTTTCTCACTGGATCTTCATGAGAGACGCTAGAATCCCTTGAACCCAAGAGGCGGAGGTTGCAGTGACCTGAGATGGCACCACTGGACTCCAGCCTGGGTGGCAGAATGAGACCCTATCTCAAAAAAAAAAAAAAAAAAAAAGAGAAGGGGTCCCCCTCATCCCATCTCACTCACAACGGAAATCAATTTTTCAGCTACTTCAGCCAGAATGTGGAGTCAAGGTCAGATTTAATTAGACCTCAAGGAAATAAAATAATGTCACATTTCTTGTACAGTCAAATGTATGGAGTAGAATGCATATTCCAGGATCTTAATTAGTAAGACATAGACACCATCATAACACTGAGGTCTTCCTCAGGGACTGTCTGGTTGCTAGAAATGACCTTTTACTCAGAAAAGTTTCCATAAAAGGGAGCTGGCTATCAAGCTTCAAAGCAATCTCACAACTGAGGCAGCAGAAAGTACACCGGGCTTTCAGAGAGCCAAAGCCTCCTCTCCATGTCTCTGGGGCTCAGGGGTGCTGCTCTGCTTCTCTCTTACATGCTCCAACACCCTCTCTGCAGACCCACATTGTCTGTAGGTTTTTCCTTCTTGCTTTTCCAGAACTTCAGCCCTCCTAGGATTTTAATGTACAGGGCTTAGATCTGGTACAGCTCTCAGCTACCTCTGGGGGAGGCAGGAGAGTCAAGTGATGAAGATCCAGGTCATATTCTGTCTATGGGACTTGGTTACTGCGTGAGCCAGTGGAGTAGCATTGCAGCCCAAAGCAGCAATGTAGACAAACTACATCCGCGTCCCTCTTCCCCACCAACAGATCCAGTGTGTCCATGTTATTGAGAAGAGGCCCATGCTGGAAACTTCAAACAACAGTTGCTAACAGCAGATACAAGCTCCAAAGATATCAGGGAAAATCCTTCCCAATATATAAAACCCATGTTCACTTCACTCCTTAAGTTCTTTATCTACTGTGTCAGTTCCAAGAAACATTTTGTTTCCAAGTTAGTAGAACTTATTTGGAATTTTCTATTGGAATTTCAGTCCATAGTATATAATATTTACATAAACAAAATAATATAGGTTTATCTAAAGATATATTATAATTATTTTAGCATATACTATATTATATACACTAAAAATGGAAATATGTAGCTTTTAGTATATTTTTAGTATACAGAATATGTGCTATACTAAACTATACCATGTGTATTAATATATACTAAACTATACTAAAATATACTAAAGTCTAAATATTTTTGTTTTCATAACCAGTTGCATGCCATAATCTGACAAACATGGTTCGTCACTAAACTTGGTTTCCTCATCTATAAAATGGGTATACAAACAGAGCTTACTTTGCAGGGTTGATGTGAGAATGAAATAAAGCTCAGCAAACACTAGTCTTTTTTTTTCTTATAACATTGTATCTAAGGGCTAACACTATCTAATAAACCCAGGGCCTGGATCTCTTGGTTCAAAGTCGCCAGTGGATTTATCTGATTGTCTGTGCAGTGTGTCTCTCCAGGGTCAGGAATCTTCCAGAGCCAGGTTGGAGGAGAAGTATCACGTGAAGCAAACATGAGCTCACAGGCTAACCACGCTGCTGGCGGGGAGGGTGATTGCTGAGAAGCAGGGATGGGTAGGTCCACTACAGCAGACGCAGAATTGACAGTAAGAAGATTCTAGAGTCCCAGAGCTGGAAAGGCAATTGAGACTATCTGGTCCAGTCACTCCAGTTTTCCATGTTTAGAAACCAAGACCCTGAGAAACACAATGACCTACTTGAGTGTTGTCCTACACAGTGAATTGGAGGCAGGGGCTCTGCCTTTCCCACCCTATGTCCTATCTAAAGGGGCAGGAGGCCTTCTGGGCAGGGAGGCGAGCCCATCACTGACCCTCCCACCTGGTTACCTCAGAGCCTCTGAGTTAGCTGATGTCGCAGCCTCCCCCGTCAACACCCTGAAATCCAGTCTGCAGGAAATGCTCAGTCTCCTGGCCTTCTGCCACCCAGCCCTGGCCACCTGTACAACCAGGTTCCACCCATTCCTTCCAGCTAAGCAGGTTCAATGGCCACACGCCTGCCTCCCTCTATACCTTTGCTCAGGTAGTTCCCTCACCTGGAATGCCCACCTGCCACTCCCCACCCACCTGAGTTCCACAGCCTCTGCTGGAGTCCACACCCTCTGAGAGATCTTCCTTGACACATACCCCTACCCAACTCCAACCTAACAATTTCTGTGTCTTTTTCTCCCTCTTCACTCCATCAACTGCCATCTGCCCCATCTATGGGGCACATAATTACATGTTGCCTTCCAATTTTAATTCAATTGTAAGTTCTCTCTTGAGGTTCAAAACCTTGTCTTAGACTGCAGCAACAAAGCACTCAGTGCTATGCTGGGTGCCTGGAAGGCAGTCAGTAAGCATTTGATGAAGAGCAAGTGAGCGGAGCGAGTGGACAAGTGAGCGAGTGAATGGAATGAGTAATTGATTGTCATTTGGGAATTGGACCAGCAGGAGCATTCCTGCTCCAGGATATCCTGGGAAGGGCGGTGAGGTCCCTGGTTAGAGCAGTCCCGGCAGTCCCTCACAGGGGCTGGATCCAAGCTCCGTATCACCTGCTGTTTACAGCTCACCACAGCCTCATTATGAGGACACAGAGGCTCAGAGATGAAAGTGATTGGCCAGGGGCCACCGGGGAACTATACACATGAATGGGGATCGGGCTGCCGTCAGGCTGACTCCTTGACTTGGGCTCTGACCGCCTACCCCATGCACAGGATGCAAATGAGCAGGACACACTCTTGACCTTCAGGAGCACCTGGGGTAGGGGTCGTGGGGCTCATAGGATGTGGCTGGAGGCCAGCTTTGAAGAAACCACTGGGGCCCACACACCTCTGGGACAGAAGCAAAACCAGGAGCAAGTGACCTCTCTCTCTGCATAGTAAAGTCTCTGGGGTCTCTTTGACCTTCAAAACCTCCCTATAACACAGGCAGGATGAGGGTCATTAAACCTGATTCACAGGATGGCAAACAGGGTCAGAGAGGTTGGTGGCTGGCCTTGGGAGCCACTCACAGAGACTAGATAGGAAACCAACATTCCCAGCCTCCTTCCTAACTAACCACTGCTCTTCCCACTGTCCTGTGGGGAAACCCTGTTCCAGAGGGTCAGTCAGCATGTGGTTCCCAAACACACTCTTCTTTATCCAGCTGCCTGGCCTGCTACCCCTGCCTGAAGGCCTTTTCCCACCAAACTCTGCTACTGCAGGGCCTAGCCCAGATCTCACCTCCTTTCCAAACTTCCCCAGGTCTCCTCTGATTGAATTTCTCCATTGACCTCAAAGTCTTTCTCTCTGTGTCATACTCTGATTTGTACCTTTTGAAATAAGAACACAAGTGCCTGGTATGATACCTGGCCTGTCGTAAAGCCTGAGGCAGTATTCTCTGGAATGAAGTGGTGCTCTGCAAAGCGTGGTGTAAAGAAGGTCTGAATGAGTGAATGAACAAATGAATGGGTCTCTTGCCTACGTTTCACTGCTGTTGAGAGGATTCATTTTGGTGAGGTAACCTACGAAGCTCCCAGCACAGAGCTGGGCACAGAGCAGGTGGCTAGTCAGTGCTGGCTGGCGTGAGTCCGTTTGAGGCAATGCTGTCTTCCAAGGCCACTCCCAGCCTAGACTTCCTGAATGGGCCAAATGCCAGCACAAAGGCTCCAGCAGGCGTGGAGCCAGGGAGCTGCCTACGGATCTCTCTCGAAAGGAGCAAAGTCTGCAGCCCTGCCCGCCTGCTCACCCGTCCTGCCAGCTCAGATGCCATCCATACTACTCCGGCCTCCTTCCTGGGCCTGCAGTTTGGGTAAGAAAATAAAGGAGAAAAAATCAGGTTAAACCAGATGGCAAAGCTGTTCTTTTAATCAGCACTTGTGAAGCCCTGGAATGGGGGCCAGGAGGCATGGCTGTGAAGCAGGCCAGAATGGCTAGTGGACAAGGGCAAAGGCCCTGGTGTCTTCAGGATCTGGGTTCAAATCCTAGCCTGTGGGTTTCAGCTGTCATCATGCAGGACAAAGCCTGCTCCCTCTCTGAGGCTCAGATTTCTCACCTGTCAAATGCAATAACGGTAACTTACCACACGCGGGTCTGCAGACAAAAACTGACTAGGGACAGGTTCTTACCCTGTGCAGCATCAACTAAGGACAAATTAATGTATCTCCATACGTATGTGTATATATGTGTATAATATATCAACATAATAGATCACCAACTGCCCTCCCTTAAGGAAGATTGGCTCTTATTCTGTGATTATATCCTTCCTTTATTATTATTATATTTTTATTACAGAAACAGGGTCTCAGTCTGTTGCCCAGACTGGAGTGCAGTGGCACAAACACAGCTCACTGCAGTCTTGAACTCCTGAGCTCAGGCGATCCTCCCACCGCAGCCTGTAGCTGGGACCACAGGCACACACAGTCATGCCTGGCTAATTTATGTTTTTTAGAGACAGTCTTGAACTCCTAGTTTCAAGCAATCCTTCTGTCTCGGCCTCCCAGTGCTGGGATTATAGGCATGCGCCACCTCACCAAGGCCCTTCTTTGATTATTATTTTTTGCACTGAAGAGGACTAAGGGCCTTGGTGCTGCTGTGGCCCCTGCCAAGAATCCTTGCCCCACTCACCCCCACCCACAAGACTCACTGCCTCACTGGCTTCAGAACTTAACTCACACGTCTCCTTCTCAAGGACACCTTCCCTGGTTACCTTATTGAAAACTGCCATCCACCCACAGAGTGCCTTTCCCCATTCCCTAACCTGTTTTTCCTCCATAGCACTTAGCCCATGTGACCTATGATTTATTTCCTGTTTGGCCCACTTCACAGGAGGGCAGGGGTTTTTGTCTGTCTTGTTCACAGCTGTATCCCAAGGCTTGAAAGAATGCCTGGCACAGAGTAAATCCTCAATAAATATTTGTCAACTGAATAAACAATTGAATGGATATTTGCTTTATAATGTCTTTCCATGGCAAAATAAAAAGTGAGCAGCCCTATGTCAGCTCCCAAAATTGAGGTCTTGGAAAGGGGAGGATTTCACTGGTCTATGAGGTCCTTACATTACTGAGAAAATGTAGGTAAAAAAGTTCAACACTGTCGGGCACAGTAGTTCACGCCTGTAATCCCAGGACTTTGGGAGGCTGAGGCGGGCAAATCACAAGGTCAGGAGATCAAAACCATCCTGGCCAATATGGTGAAACCTTGTCTTTACTAAAAATTAAAAAAAAAAAAAAAGTTAGCTGGGTGTGGTGGCGCGCACCTGTCGTCACAGCTACGTGGGAGGCTGAGGCAGGAGAATCGCTTGAACCTGGGAGGCAGAGGGTACAGTGAGCTGAGATCGCGCCATTGCACTCCAGCCTGGCAACAGAGTGAGAATCTGTCTAAAAAAGAAGAAAAGAAAAGAGCAACACATATTATGGTGCCTGGAAAAACTCACTACACAGTAATAATTATTCCCTTCCTCTGGTCCCCTTTCTTTCCCCTCCCCATATTCAGCCTAAGGCCTTATCTGTCTCAGCAGGGCTGTCTCTGCACACTGCAGAACTTGCAGGCCCATACCAGCTTTTTCCTACACTAAATCAGGCGTTCTCTGTCCTCTCATTTTGCTTCTTTCATTGATTTTCTTTAAAGATCCTGATGACAGACCTGGCTTGGGAGAACCAGCCAGATATGTGAACGGGTCTGATGGAGGCCTGTCCTGCCTGGAAGACCTGGACACCAGCACTGATGAGCCTGGTCAGTATTCCACTGCTTTCATGATCCCAGGTCACAGGCAAAAGAAATAAAAGGTTTGCATGAGTGCGCTTGCATTTCAGTTCCAGGCCTGCTGCTTAGGGAAGTCCAGGTGTTAAACACTAAGGCTAATTGTGGCCCGGGAGGTGCTGGCACCAGGTAAAAGGTTTTACAAAGCAGATGACCTATACCCACTGGCCTTAGCAAGGGCAAGACCAGCTTTAGGACCCTGAGCCAGAGCCAGAAGGAAGTGCAGAGACTAAATAGATTGACTCTGGGGAAGACTAAGGGCCAGAGAGGTTGTGGGCATTACTTCAGATCTCACTTGGAAATAGCAAAATCAAAAAGCTGATTTCCAGCCAGGTGTGGTGGCTCATGCCTATAATCCCAGCACTTTGAGAGGCTGAGGCAGGCAGATCACTGGAGGTGAGGAGTTCAAAACCAGCCTGGCCAACATGGTAAAACCCCGTCTCTACGAAAAGTACAAAAAAAAAGGATTAGGAGGGCATGGTGGCATGCACCTGTAATCCCAGCTATACAGGATGGTGAGGTGGGAGAATTATTTGAACCCAGAGGCAGAGGCTGCAGTGAGCCAAGAGTTGGCCACTGTACTCAGCCTGGGCAACAGAGCTAGACTCCATCCAAAAACAAAACATCTGATTTTCTTGCATCTCTGATTTCCTGTCCAGCACTCTCTGAGCAGGGTAAGAGGAGCTCCAGCCCTGCACCCTGCATTTTAGAAGGTCTTGCTCAGACACTACCCCTCCCTGCAAGTGAGGAGTCTTGGGGAACAAGGGGCTATACCCAGTTGGAACCCCCTCTGGAGGACACTGGGTTCCTAGGACTCTGGGGTTCCCTGTCCAAATGCCCATGCCCACTTCTGAGGCCTCCTGGACCATTCCTATTTTCCCTAGTGTGGACCACATGGCCAATGGGTGCTCCAGCCCTGAAGGCTGGCCAAAGGACAGCTGCTTGGGGCACCTGAGTAGAGCTTAGCCTTGTGGGCTGAGTTCCTGGTCTCCTCGTGCAGGAAAAAGTGGAGAATGGGGAAAGTAGCTGCCATGTGCCAATGTGAAACTCCGAGGAGTCTAGAATTCTGATCTGCCCTTCCAGGCCATCAGGAGGCTCTGTCATTTTATCCAGCAGTTTGTTAGCTTGCTTTAAAACTTTTGAAATATTTAGACATTTGGTTTGTGACCCTGCCAGGGTGAGCCTGCTGTCTGGAGAACACACTGGTCTGGTGGGGAGACGGAGTGCTTTCGGGCTTTGCTGAGGAGGGACTTAGGGAAAAAGAGTGAGGGGGGTATCTCCTCACACAGGTGCTTGGCTTGCTAGACCTAGGGTCATTCTCACGTCACCTTTTCAGCTGAGGAAACTGAAAGTCCCAAGGTCACACAGCTGGGAATATATGACCAAATGGCCTTCACCTTCCCCTAAATGATAACTTTCAAATGACAAAAGAAGGAAACAAGGAGAAATGGGTTTGTCTTTCTTCTGAGAGTGTCTTCAGCACCTGTAGGCTTTGCTAGTTGTGTACCTACCTGGCCTCTTTCCAGCCAGCCCAGGTGTGCAAGAGCTGTGTCTTTCCACCTGGTGGCTGCTACAGTCCAAACCTCTGCTGTTGGTTTGACTTCCTAGAAATAAGCCTGATTTAGGGACTGTGGGGGTGAGAATGCAGGCAATATTGAGATGTGGTTTCCCAGAAAGTCACATTTCCGTTTAGCTTTCCCAGGAAGCCCCGAGTCCTTGCTAAGATGATTTCCTATGGAGGGAGGCACTTGCTCTGCATGAGTTTCTGTTTAATTGTTTTTGCGAAAATGATCTAGACAAGAGGGAATGAATCTGGATCAGATCTAGACACTGTCCCATTTAAAGAACTTGCAAACAGTAGTCCCATCTCGCTCTCTAATCTTCCCTCTTCCCATCACCTCTCCCAGTGCCCTGGGCTCCACTGAGAGCCCCCTAAGCAACCACTGCACTTTGGCACATGCTGCTTCCACCCAGCGTGGATGCCCTTTCCCTCCTTTCTTCACCCCATCTGCTTTCTTCTTCAGGTGCCAGCTTAGTCCCTTCCACTTGTCCCCCGGCTGTACCTTTTATGCTTCCTCTGTGCTTCCCAAGCTCTGGAGTGTCCTCCTATAAATGGACTCTGTGTACTGTGGGCTCATTGCTACCTGTCTCTTGTCATGGCTGGCAAGCAATTTGGAGTAGGGATTACATTTTATTCACCTCTCTGTTCTAGTGTGCAGTTTGGTCCTGGGGGGGCGGGACGTGCTCAGGAAGGATCTCCTGAGTGCGAGAGCCTCCTCTCTCATACGGTGTTCTCCAATCAGGAGTTTATTTGCTATTTACATGCCTGAGGAGGACTGACCTTAGCAGCTATGATGACCTCATTTATCACTGCAGATTAACAGTTGGCCAGGGTCTCGGCCAGCACCCCGGGCCCAGCCTCCTGAGCTACTAGTTTCTGGGTGTGGGGGCATCTGCCACTGTCCTGAACTTTCCTCTGCTTGGATGGGGACAGGGAGTCCCAGCAGCACTTGTTCCAGGATGACCCAGCAAATTGCAAAGTGGCATTTGGCCTTTTTTTTAGCAATTGCAAGACTTTGTCCCAGGGCGAGGAGGAAGAAGGTAATGGAAGAGCTGGGGTGAGGAGATCAAAGGCCTTCCCAGAGACCCAGCCAGGGGCCCAAACTGGGGACATTTACAGGCAGGCGCTGGAGCCAGCCTCAGGGACATGCCAATGCAGTGCTGGGGCCAAGGGGAAAGGCTGGTTTCAAAACCACATGTGCAGCAACCTCAATGCTGAGTCATGCTTGTGAGGCCTGTGGGGGACCAAAGACAGGGGCTGAAAGCTCAAAACTGCCTGGTTAGTGCTGACTCCATTCGTTTCCTGGCCTTCCACTTCCAAACCTTCCTTGGATGGCTAAACTCCTTCTGGAAGACACACCTGCTTTTTATGTTTGCCTGGTATATATACTCCACTTCTTTGAGTGACAGCACCCCAGATTCCACTAGAGATCCCCTTCTTCATGTAGTTAAGGTGAGGTTGGATTCTCTTTTCCTTGCCACCCCCAGCCTCCCTGCCCCCAGCACCAAGGACCCAGGCTCAGCCAATCAGAATATCTCTCATGCTCATGATGGGCTCTAGGATGGGAGCATGATGGAAAAGTGGCCACTGAGGCTCAGTTCTAAGACTTTTGTGAGAAATGCTGGGGAAGAGACCCTCTCATTTTCTACAGGGATTGCTCACTGTGCAAATATGCCAGCCTGGGGCAGCTGGGGCCTCCATGTGCACAGTGAAGAATCAGGTTACTCCACAGGAAAGCAGGACCTCAGTGTGGTACTAGGAAGAGACCCAGCCTCCCGGCCATGCACCTCTGCACTTTTCAGCTGTATGGACTGATTCGATTCTTTTTTGCTTAAGCATGCTTTCAAGTGGGGTTTCTGTCAATTGCAAACAGAAGATTTCTGACTAACATTCCCAGGATAATATTTATATTATCTTCCTCTGTGTTCTCACTCTCTGTGCACAGCTTAAGCCTCATCATCCACTTCCACATCTCCTACCTTAGATTATTGTGCAGACTGCCAGCTCAGAATTACAACAGAATCACTGTCGTAGTTGACTAACTGCTTTCTGCATGCATGTTTTATTTATGATAGTGACCTTACAAGTTGATTTTCATGTCTCACTGATGAAGGCACCAAGCGTCAGGCAGCCAGTAAGCAGCAGAGCTAAGATTTGAACTCAGATCGCCTGACTCTGAAATGCATGATCTCTGTCCGTGGCTCACTGTCATGTCTTACTGCCACCAGTAAGGCTCAACCATGATTCTCCCACAACAAGAGCAGATTGTGAGGTAATAACACTTTGGTCCCTTGGAAACACAGAGCCATGAGTGTGGTCAGACTGTCAAATATCTTAGACTTCATGGACACACTATAAGGGCACAAATTTTAGTTTGGGTTCATCCTTTTCCTCCTGCCTTCATCTGCCCTCCCCTCAATTTCCAAGCTCATCTTTTATTTTGTTGGCATGATTTATTGGCCAGGCTTGGGTGACATGCCCATCACTGAGAAATATCTCAGGTCAGGGGATGTGTCCAATGGGGTTTCTTTAGGTCATATGCCCTGCCCTGCATCTCAGTCAGTCCCACTCAAGCCAGATGGATGGAAAGGGGGGAAGACAGTTCCCAGAGGCAAATAAGGTGCTGTTGCCAGAAAGGGTAGCCACTCCTTCTCACCCCCTTGCCTAAGACCTCAGCCACCCAAAGCAACAATCATCTATTTGGTTCTATAGTGTGGTAAGCTCTATGCTGAGCACTGGAAGGACAAAGAGAGATTGGGCACAGACTTCTCACTGATCCAGGTGATAAGGAGCGCACATCTGAGAGTATGTGACCATGGATGAGCCACCAGAATGCCATGGGATCCAGCCGTAGCCAAGAAAGCACAGAGCACTGTGGGAATGAATCGTTGTGCTTGGGGATGGGGAAGGGAACATGAGAGGAGCCATACTGAGAAGGTAACATGGGTACTTGGCTTTAAGGAGCATGGCAGCTTTCATCAGGAAGCGATGGTGGGGGAACAGCATCTCTGGCAAAGGTAAGCAGCAGGTGCAGAGGTATGAGGAATCTGGCATGTT